CACCTTCCTGAAGAACCTCAACTCCAACACAACCCGTCCTCCTGCCACACCTGTCCTCCGTCCCCTTCATGGGCCTTAGCCTATCTGGCCCATAGAAGCCTTGCTCAGGGAAGCTGGAGGGGCGTGGCGGGCAGCCAAGAGACCAGAGAGTCCATTTGGTGCCGAGTCTCAAGAGCACAGATAAGAACTGAGGCAGAGACAGGCCAGAGTCACACAGCAAGCAGGCACCAGGCCCAGTGCACTACCTGTGGCCAGTCCTCCTGGGGATGAGGCACAGAGCAACCCCCCTTGCCCACCCCAGGTGTGGTCCACCCCCCAGGGGACCCCCAGCCTTCCTCTCTGTGCCTTTCTGAAGGGGGCATGGGGAGGTGTGCAAAGCCAAAGTGCCCCCTTCAAGGCCCCGCTGTGCCCTCTAGACTGGACGTGTGGACAAGAACGCACCGATGGTCTGTGGCCACACAGCCCCCGTGCTGGACATTGCCTGGTGCCCGCACAATGACAACGTCATTGCTAGTGGCTCCGAGGACTGCACAGTCATGGTAAGTGGTGGTAGGGACCCAGGGGCTGGGCTCCAGGAGGGAACCTGACACCTGAGACCAAGGCCTCTAGCCTTGAGGCTAGGACTCATGAACACCTTCCTCGCAGGTGTGGGAGATCCCGGATGGGGGCCTCGTGCTGCCCTTGCGGGAGCCCGTCGTCACCCTGGAGGGCCACACCAAGCGTGTGGGCATCGTGGCCTGGCACCCCACAGCCCAGAATGTGCTGCTCAGTGCAGGTGCCCTGGGGAGCTGGTGGGGCAGGGCTGGTGGCCTGGCTCGGGGGGGAAGGTGGGAGGCTCGTGGGCTCTGACGCTGGGGGCATTCTCAGGCTGTGACAACGTGATTGTGGTGTGGGACGTGGGCACTGGGGCGGCTGTGCTGACGCTGGGCCCGGACGTGCACCCGGACACAATCTACAGCGTGGACTGGAGCCGAGACGGAGCCCTCATCTGCACCTCCTGCCGGGACAAGCGCGTGCGCATCATCGAGCCCCGGAAAGGCACCGTGGTCGCCGTGAGTGGCCGTGAACCCTGACCCTTGACCCTGGGACATTTCTCCTTCCCACCACCAACCAAGGCCCTGGGTGCCACTTCCCCTTGACCCTACCTGAGGTCTGGCCTCATTTGGGTGGGGCTGGTGGTACCTGACCTGCCAACTCGCTTTTCCTGCCAGGAGAAGGACCGACCCCATGAGGGGACCCGGCCGGTGCACGCTGTGTTTGTATCGGATGGAAAGATTCTGACCACGGGCTTCAGCCGCATGAGTGAGCGGCAGGTGGCGCTGTGGGACACAGTGAGTGCCAAGATGGGACACAGAGGGCTGCCGGAGGGTATGCCTGGGGGCCAAGACTTTCAGTCCCTGCCCTGCCCCCTGCTTGGCCTTAGTTTAACCATGAGATGAGCGTGTCCACTGGCTGGTCTCTGAGGGCTTCCCCAGGTGGCGGAGGAAATGAAGGCCATTGCAGATCACCATCCCTGAGCCTGCCGTGGCCCAGCTCATTGTCGCCTCCTACCTGCCTCTACAGAAGCACCTGGAGGAGCCGCTGTCCCTGCAGGAGCTGGACACAAGCAGCGGCGTCCTGCTGCCCTTCTTCGACCCTGACACCAACATTGTCTATCTCTGTGGCAAGGTGGCCCCTTCAGGCAGGGGATGAGGGGGCCGGGAGGTGGGCAGGAGGGGCTGGGTAAGGACCACAGCTGGAGGTGTGGGAGGTGGGTTTGGGTGTTGATGCTCTCCTTGCGCCTCCTACCTGCAGGGCGACAGCTCTATCCGCTACTTCGAGATCACGTCCGAGGCCCCGTTCCTGCACTATCTCTCCATGTTCAGCTCTAAGGAGTCCCAACGTGGTATGGGCTACATGCCCAAACGTGGCCTGGAGGTGAACAAGTGTGAGATCGCCAGGTGATCCTCTCTGTGCCGACCTGAGGGGGCGCCACGGGCAGTGTGGACCCGGGGGACCTTCAGTCCCGGCCCACACACGCTGTGGGCTCTGCTTACCTGCTTCTTTCCACAGGTTCTACAAGCTGCACGAGCGGAAGTGTGAGCCCATCGCCATGACCGTGCCTAGAAAGGTGATGCTCCCATGTCCCTTCCTGGGCACTGGGCTGCCCACCAACCTGGTGAAGTCGCAGGGGGCTGTTGGGGCCTAAGCACTCTCTTAACCAGCCTTGACCTTGCCTACAGTCGGACCTGTTCCAGGAGGACCTGTACCCGCCCACTGCAGGGCCTGATGCCGCGCTCACAGCCGAGGAGTGGTTCGGGGGTCGGGATGCCGGGCCCCTTCTCATTTCCCTCAAGGATGGCTATGTACCTCCAAAGAGCCGGGAGCTGAGGGTCAACCGGGGCCTGGACACTGCACGCAGGAGGGCAACGCCAGAGGCCAGTGGCACTCCCAGCTCGGTGAGAGGCAGATGGGGAACCGCGGAGTCAGGATGGGTAAAAGGGTAGGGCAGGAACTGCTACTGAGCTGGTCAATGTCCCAGTGGAGGGAGGCTGGCGTTCGAGGCAGCTCAAACTCACAGTGTTGGGGATCCTTTTGGAGCTAGAGGTGGATGATCCTGAGGCCTCAGAAAACAGGTTCCAGGCTGACAAGCCTGCAGCTCCCTGCGGCAACTGAGACAGAAGGGCCAAAGCCCAGGGGCTCTTGGGGGTGGCTGAGCAGATGCCTGGGTAAGGGGAGCTAAGGAGGGGCTGGGCCTGATGCAGCACTGGGTCCCCCAGGACACTGTGTCCCGGCTGGAGGAGGAGATGAGGAAGCTCCAGGCCACGGTGCAGGAGCTACAGAAGCGCTTGGATAGACTGGAGGAGACGGTCCAGGCCAAGTAGAGGACCCCAGGGCCTTCAGCGGGGCCAAGGCATCACCTCCCTCCCTTCCGTTCACATGTCTCCTCTTTAATGGCAAATAAGAAAAATAATAAAATGGCTTTATTTTCTTGTACCTCCCAGACTCTGATGATTGGCTACCTGGGGGCTGAGGCTGCTGACCTCCCCTGCCTTGAGATTCCCCTAATAGTCCTAATTGGACTGTGCCCATTCCTAGGAACAGGGCCTTGATGGGTGGGAACCACCTATGCTGATATGGGTCAGGAGCCTGTCCTCTGCCTCCCAGCTCCTTCTTAGAGCTGGGAGGTCCCAGCTATTTACAACCCTAATCTGTGACCTAGATAATGCCAGTATTTACCCAAAGTCTTCCTCTCCTAGCCAACTAAAACATGAGGTTGCACGCAACTGCACCGATACTGGTACTCATGAGGAAATGAACCAAGTAGCACTTACGCAGCAGACACCTTTCAAACCACAGGCTCAAGGGATAAAAATGATATGGGCGTCTTTGGTTGGGAAGAACCTTAGAACCAAAGCAGCAGTTCAGCCTTAGTTTATAGTGGAGGAAACGATATGCACAGAGCAGAGCGGGGCTTGCTGCAGGACACACCTGGAGGCATAGCCTAAGTGTCTCGATCTTGAAGCAGAGCGCGTCCTCCTGCACAGTGCTCCCACCTCGTGAGCCCTCCTGATTCCGCTCGGGCTTGGCCTCTGTGGGAGGCCCAGGGGCAACAGAATGATCAGCCCGATATATCAAGAGGGTGCTTGGGGGTAGATGAGCCCTCTTAGTGGGTGACCCTGATGGATGAGTGCTCTAGTCAGAGCAGCACTTGGTCCATCCCACAGCCGGCACCAAAGGCTCCCTTCTCTTCAGCAAGGCAAAGAAAACTACAGCAGCAGGTAGGGGACTGAATGAGACAAATGGAAAAACATCCCTGCCTGCCTATTTGGGTCTTACCCTCTATGTAAGCTGTGGGACTCTGGGCAAGTCACTTTTCTCCAGGCTCAGTCACCCACCTGTAATATAGGAAGGGATTACAGCTCTGCGAATGCATTGGGTGGGTGCAAATGACCCCAAGCAGGGGTGTGGTCAAGAGAGGAGTCAGAAGTTGGGGTGTGGGCCTCATAAAGAGCTGATGTCCTTTCTCTCCTGCCCCTAGTGATGATGGGCCCTTCTGGGGTCCTTGTGGGACATGAGCAACTATGTCTCTTCTTGGTCCAGGGGAAGTGAACACAGTTTAGGAGTTGATCCCTGGGACCCAGTAGGGTTAATCTGTCATCACCATGACCCCTAGCTTTACCACCTCATTCTCCCTTAGACAGGAACAAGAGAGGGAGGTGGGAGGTAATTTAGAGGCTAAGAAACTGGTTGAAAACTGAATTTTCCCACTCCCAAAGAGGTCTGGCTCCAACTGCGACACTGCGGTCCCTTCTAGGTGTCAGGAACCTCATGTGCATGGCCTTACCAACCCTGGCATCTATGGTTCAGACTGATAGCACGGACCCAACTACCCCAATGATTCTTTTTTAACCCTCTATTTTCTGCCCACATCCCAGGCAACAGAGTTATAGGGTCACTGGATCTCTTCCAGTGGGTCAGAAAACAACAGCCTTCTGGATGCTGGGGAACTCCTGCTGGGGTTCCATGTCCCCTGAGGCCTGTGAAGGGCTAAGTGAACCTGTAGTGATCCCAGAATTCACTATCATGCATCTGCTATTAGGTTAGGAGAGATGTGGACTTTGTTAAATTGTCCAGAGCCCTGAAACCCTGAACACTTTCTCATCTATGCATCTTAAAGGCTGGCAGAGAGCAGAAGCTCCCAACAACGGTGAATGAATGGGTGGGTCACGGCTGTACTGACCCGTAGGGATCCACTGGGAATTACAGAAAGGAAGCTTGCAAAACCAGCCCTGGAAGACTTGAAGGATAGAGCCTTCATTTTGTAACAGGGCACACAGAGACCAAGACAGACCTGCCCCAGGTAAACAGTGCACAGCGGCAGGGCAGTGAGAAGCCAAGGCCTAGACTCCCAGCCTCATTACTCTCCTCCTCCCACCAACACACACACACATACACACACAAAACAACACAGAGGCTGGTCCTGATTCACAGTTTAATGGCTGTGCAGGCGTCGCCCCTCATTTCTGTCGTTCACGGGTCCACTGCTCCGGAGTCAGGGTCTTCTGCTCAAAGGCATGGATGCGCGGGAGCTCTTCCGCTAGGCACGCGTTGACCAGCCTGGGGCGAGAGAGGGGATCAGGTCACAGGAGGCTACAGAGCTACCAACACCCGAGAGACTGACGATACCCCGCGGTCTCATTCCCCGAGAGTTGGGAACACGCGGGGTTGGGGCCGAAGTCACAGTCCTCGAGGCAGGGGCCCCAAAAGCGGAATCCTTGGGATCTTGTTCCCTGGTGCTAAGGCCGAGTCGGGCGGGGGTCGGGAAATAGGGTGGAGGGAGAGGTCAGGGTTGTGGTTCCCGAGCTGAGACCACGAGGGGTGAGGTGTCTCTGGGCCTCACCGGTGTCTCTGTAGCAGCGGCTTCCCCTCGAACTTGGAAGACACCACCAGGACTCGGAAGCTGGACGCGCAACGGTTGACGGTAGTGTCCTCCACGTCCTGCAGTGCAGAAGAGTGTGGATGGTACCGAATCTGCCCCCTCGGAGGTCTCCCCCTTGTCAGGCGGGCCCAGGCCGCTCAACTCACCACATGCTCTGCTTCCAGCTCCCGCTGTAGCTTCTCCCGGAGGTATTCGGCGTTCAATTCCATCGCAGCAGCCCCGAGTGGGCGGCAGCCCAGTCGGGACTGCACCCCAGCCCGGCCCCGGCACACTGCTTCCGCCCTTACTGGTGCCACTTCCGCTGTGGCCATGTACTTCCGCCCTTACTCAGGCGTCCGTAAACCAAACACTTCCGCCCTCACACACTGCCAGCTTTCCAACAGTCACGGATTTCCGCGCCTACTATCAGCTAGCCAATCAGAGCCTGCATGAGCCCTGAATTTGCCGAAAGGAACACTAATTGGCGCTCGCCACCTCACGGCTGCTTGGGTCCTGTGGACATCCTCGCTCCGGCCAGGAGAGGGTGCACGAACATGAATTGCTGTGGGCTTTTGGGTGCCTCAGGATCGCTTCAAAGCACGCTTCCTGAGACAAGCATCTTGCAGCCTTAGTATCCCGGGCCTCCCCCAAGGTCAAAGACCATAGCAGTCAACCTCCAGCGGCGGCCCTTGACCCACCAGTCACGATGGGCCCCACGGAGCGTTTGGCAAGGCCAGGGCGCTTTTTCGGTGTCTACCTGCTCTACTGTTTGAACCCTCGGCATCGAGGCCGCGTCTACGTGGGGTTCACCGTAAACCCTGTTCGTCGGGTTCAACAGCACAACGGGGGCCGCAAAAAAGGCGGGGCCTGGCGGACTAGCGGGCGAGGGCCCTGGTAAGATGGGCGGGTCACTAGTCAGGGTAGGCCTTGATGGGGGGAGGTGGGGCCATGGCAGTGGGCGGAGCCGCTGTGGAGGCTGGTAAGGCGGGGCCTAGTGACGAAGGCGGGGACTTCGGGAGGGGAGGAGCTGTCCGCGGGGAGGCGGAGCCCTGTGAAACTAGGTGTAGAGCTCCCAGGGGATGGGTACTGAAGCGTTCGAAGATCGAGGCAGTTGCCAGACGTCAGAGTGCTTGGTGACCAAGCCTGGGGTTGGAATTGAGCCTGGAAGGGTTAGAACTGAGGAGGGCAGTTAGGTGGCTGTGGCTAGAGGCAGGGCCTAAGGAGGGGACAGTCCTTCCACGGAGGCGCTGGGCCCGAAACCTGCGTGAGGCCTCACCTTGACGAGAATGGGACTGGGGTTCACCATGGCCAGGGGTTCGCCTTGATCTTGGGTGGGGGGACTCACAGGCTGCGCTCACATTCTCCACCCCAGGGAGATGGTGCTCCTCGTGCACGGTTTCCCGTCCTCCGTGGCCGCCCTTCGGGTAAGAGGGGAGGCAGGAGCGGCGGGCGGGCGGGGAGGGCTGCGTCCCGCCCTAACACGCTCACGTTCTCCCACCGCAGTTCGAGTGGGCCTGGCAGCACCCGCACGCCTCGCGCCGCCTGGCGCACGTGGGACGGCGCACGCGCAGAGAGGCGGCCTTAGAGTTCCACCTGCGCGTGCTGGCGCACATGCTGCGGGTCCCGCCTTGGGCACGCCTCCCGCTCACGGTGCGCTGGCTGCGTCAGGACTTCCAGCAGGACCTCTGCCCGCCGCCACCGCCGCACATGCCCCTGGCCTTCGGGCCGCTGCCGCCACCGTCACGAGGCCCTGGGTGTGAAGCTGTTCCCAATGCTGACCCCGAGCCGGACCTGGGCGCCGAAGTCCTCTGTGCCCTGTGCACCCGCGCGCTCCAGGTGAGAGCCACTTGCAGTCCGGGTTCTAGGGTTCAGATGACTTAGGATCAAGATGTTCGTTGAGGGACAGAGCCAATCACCAACACTTTTGGCCGCAGTACATCCATCTCTAAAGTGGAAATAGTACTTGGCCAGTCCTTGACACGACAGTACTGCCTGGCTCAGGATCTTTGGCCTTTCCCTTTTTCTGGAAGGTTCTTGACCTAATCTTCGGCTTTGATAAAGTACTGTCTTCCCAGAGAGGTGTTCCCTAGTGCTGTATCTAAGATTGCAACCTTATTATGCACTTTCGGGAATTAAAAAAAAATTTTTTTTAGGTAAAAGTCACATAAAATTAACCAATAACTATTTTAAAGCATATAATCCAATGGCATTTAGTGCATTCCTAATCCTGTGCAGCCATCACCTCTTTCTAATTCCAAGATATTTTCATCAAACCCCAAATAAAAAACCTGTTACCCTTTAAGCAGTCCCTCCCATCACCCCTGATCCAAGCTCCTGGCAACCACCAGTCTCTTTTCTGTTTTCACGAATTTATCTGTTATAGATACTACAATTGGAATCATGATATGTAGTCTTTTGTGCCTGATTTCTTCACTTAGCACAGTGTTTTCCAAATTCTTCCCCCTTGTAGCATGTGTCAGTGCTTCTTCATTCCTTTTCATGGTCGAATAATACTCTGTTCTGTGATATATCACATTTATTTTCCATTCATCATTTGATGGATTCCTTGCCTTTTTACCTTAACCTTTTTTTTTTTTTTTTAATTTAAATTGTGAGTAGGGTAAAAGTTTATGGAGCAAATTGGTTTTCCATTCAACAGATCATGCCCATGTTGTTTTGTGACATTCATTGCAGTCTGTGGTAGTTCAGTTTGTGTGTCAACTTGGCTGGGCCTGGTTGAGTGGCTGGGCAGCTGGATGTAGTATCCCCCATGATGAGACTGATAATCAACTCCATGGTGTAATCTACTGTGAGGGATGTGGTCTGCTTCCTGTATATAAGGAGAAGCCTTGGGGAACAGTCTCTAGCTTGAACCCTCCATGTAGCCTGCCATGCTCTGCTGACCTTAGGACTTCCAATGGGCTTGAATTAATGACTTGCCGTGTGGTTTGTTGACATCGGGACTGTGCCTTTTTACTTGTCAACCGTGGGCTTGTCAGTCCAGCAGCCAGCCGCTGTCTGAGTGAAGAAAACTTCTAGCTTCAGTGGGCCGGGAGCAGGAGGCAGAGCTGAAGCTCAAGGTTGAGGGGCTTTCACCCAGCCCCTAGAGCCTGACACTTTGAACTCAGACTTAAAGCCTCCAAACTCTAAGAGAATAAACTCCTGTTTGTTACAGCCATCCACATTTGTGGTCTCTTCCTGTCAGAGCAGCATTAGGGAATCAGAACACAGTCCCTACAATGTAACAGCACTTTTCCTACTTCCTCCCTGTGTTTACCATTCCCCTTTCTCCTTCATTCCTACCCTGTCCTGCCTTCTGATCTTTATCCCTGGGCAAATGCTGCCCTTTGGATCTTGTATGATTGATTGTTTTAATGAGTGCACACCTCTCTGGTATTACTGTTCACCTTATAGCCCTGTGTGTCATTTCGCTGAAAATTGAGCCACAGGGATGGGTTTAGCTCCAGGCTAAAGATTGTCTAAGGGCCATAGTCTTGGTGATTCCACAGTCTTCATCAGACCAGTAAGCCTGGTCTTTTTTATGGTTTTTGAGTTTTGTTCCCCATTTTCTCCCACCTCCTATATTATCTCATGTCAGCAGTGGTAAGCAGCCACCATCTAGTTCTTATCTCAGGGTTGTGGGGGCTGGGGTTCACGGGGGTCCATTAGTTCTTTGGACTAACTGTTTCCCTGCATCTTTGATTTTCTTCAGTCACCTTAACTCTAGACAGGGAGCATCAGTGGTGGGCACTCACAAGCTTCAAGACCCCAGTCACTACTCACTAGAATAGGATGTAGAACATTGTCTTTGTGGACTATGTTATGCCAGTTGACCTTAGCATTCCCTGAGACTGTCATCCTGAGGCCCCAGTCCCGGCGAATCATTCTCTCAAGACGTTATGGTTAAAAAGTTTTCCCACCACCAGTCTGTATATTGTCATGTTGTGGTGGCTGCACCGTGCTGTGATGCTGGAGGCATTTCACATACCAGCAGGGTCACCTCTGGTGGACAGGTTTCAGTGGAGCTTCCAGACTGAGGCAGGAAGGAAGTGGCGGTCCACTTCTGAAAATGTTGGCCACAGAAAACGTTATGATTAGTGGTGAAACACTGTCTGATATAGTGCTGGAAGACGAGCCTCTCAGAATACGACTAGGGAAGAGCTGCCTCCTAAAAGTAGAGTGCACCTTAATGATGGGAATAGAGTAAAACTTTTGGGATCTTCATTTGCTTATGTAGCATGCTGAAAATGAGAAAAGGCTGCAAACATTCATGAATGATTAGACCGTGGAATGTACAAAGTATGAAGATTGGAAAATTGGAAGTTGTTAGAAATGAAATGGAATGCATAAAGATCAATATCCTGGGCATTAATGAACTGAAATGGACTGATCTTGGCCATTTTAAATTGGACAATCATAAGGTCTACTGTGCAGGGAATGACAAACTGAAGAGGAATGAGATTTCATTCATCATCAAAAGTACATTTCAAGGTCTGTCCTGAAATCCAGTACTGTCAGTGATAGGATAGTATCTACACATGTGTTCTGATTACCTACTGCTGCTCTGACAAGAAATTACCACAAATGAGAAGGCCTTAACAAACAGAAATTTATTCTTACAATTTGGAGACTTTAAGTCCAAATTCAAGTGCTGGGCTCTAGGGGCTGGGCCCCTCAACCTTGGGGTCCAGCTCTGCCTCCTGCTCCTGGCCCACTGGAGCTAGAGGTGTTTCTTCACTCAGACAGCTGCTGCCTGCTGAGGCGAAGAAGCCCCAAGATTGATAAGTAAAAAGGCACAGCCCCGATGTTACCAAACCACACGGCAGGCCATTAACTTAAGTCCATTGTAAGTCCCAAGGTTGGCAGAGCATAGCAGGCTGCTGAGCAATGACATGGCTACATGCAGGGTCCAAGTGTGCCATAGGCTAGAGACCATTCCCAAGGCTTCTCCTTAAATACAGGAAGCAGACCACATTCCCTAAGGCAGCTACTCAGCTGCTCGTGGTAGATCCCACCATGGAGTTGATTGCCAGTATCCTTATGGGGAATAACTACCACCAGTTGCCCAGCCACTCAACCAGGCCCAGCCAAGTTGACACAAAAACATAACCACCACAACATGCCTGCAAGGAGACCAGTTAATATGACTCTTACTGCAATTTTCGCACCAACCTCTAAAGCCAAAGGTCAAAAAACTGAAGACTTTTATCAAGGTCTGCAGTCTAAAATTTACCAAATGTGCAATCAGAATGTATTGGTAAGTACTAGTGACTGGAACGTGAAAGTTGGAAACCAAGAAGAAGTATTGGTAGTTGGAAAATATGGCCTTGGTAATAGAAATGATACCAGAGACCACATGATAGCATTTTGCAAGACCAATGACTTACTCATTGCAAATACCCTTTTCAACAACATAAATGGTAACTATACACATGGACCTTACCAGATGGAATACACAGGAATCAAATTGACTTAAGTCTTTGGAAAGCAGTGGTAGTGATGAAGTTCAATATCATCAGTCAGAACAAGGCCAGGGGCCAACTGTGGAACATCAGTTGCTCATATGCAAGTTCAAGTTCAAGTGAAGGAAAATTAAAATAAGTTCATGAAAGCCAAAATAAGACATTGGTTATGTTGCGTTGTTATGTGCCGTTGAGTCGGCCCTGACTCTAGCGACCCCTCCTTAGGTTTCCGAGGCAGTACCACTATGGAAGTAGATTGCCCAACCTTCCTTCCAAGGAGGGTTGGGTTGGTTATATCACACCTGAATTTAGAGACCATCTGAAGAATAGATTGGATGCATTGAACACCAGTGACCAAAGACCAGACAAGCTGTGGGATGACATCAAGACATCACACATGAACAAAGCAACAGGTCATTAAAAAGTTAGGAAAGAGAATGGGTTTCCGAAGAGATTCTGAAACTTGCTCTTGGATGTACAGTAGCTAAAGTGAATGGAAGTAATGATGATGTAAAAGGGCTGAACAGAAGATTTTGAAGGGTAGCTCAGAAAGACAGAGTATTACAATGGAATGTGCAAAGACCTGGAGTTAGAAGAACATTGGCATTTCTCAACCTGAAAGAACTGAAGAAAAATTCAAGCCTTGAGTTGCAGTAGTGAAGGATTCCATGGGCAAGATACTGAACAATGCAGGAAGCATTAGAAGAACATGGAAGGAATACACAGAGTCACCATACCAAAAATAATTGGTCAATATCTAGTCATTTCAGATGGTAACATATAATCAAGAACCCTGGTATTGAAGGAAGAAGTCTAAGTTGCACTGAAGGAATTGGCAAAAAAAGCTCCAGGAGTTGACAGAATACCCATTGAGATGTTTCAACAAATAGATGCAACACTTGAGGCACTTACTTATCTATGCCAAGAGATTTGGAAGACAGCTACCTGGCCAACTGACTAGAAGAGATACATATTTATACCCATTCCAAAGAGAGATGATCTAACAGAATATAGAAATTACCAAACAATACCATTACTATCATGTTGTTGTTGTTGTTGTTTGCCGTTGAGTCGGCCCCGACTCATAGCGACCCCTCCTTGGATTTCCGAGGCAGTATCACTACGGAAGTAGGATTGCCCAACCTTCCTTCTGAGGAGTGGCTGGTGGGTTTGAACCGCCAGCCTTCTGGTGAGCAGTCAAGTGCCTTAGGCACTATGCTACCAGAGCTCCTACACAAGTAAAATTTTACTAAAGGTAATTCAGGAACAGTTGCAGCAGTATATTGACAGAGAACTTACAGAAATTCAGGCTGGATTCAGAAGAGAATGTGGACGAGGGCTATCACTGCTGATGTCAGATAGATCCTGGCCAAA